ACCAAGAGATATCCAAGTTGGCGAACGTTGTACACTCACCTATGCAATCTGTAATCATTTCAAGAAGAATTTGGACAGTGTTGTTTTACGTATTAGATCATCACCTGATTTCGATCTCATGGAACAACAAAGTGGAAAAGTAATCCCAATGACCAATGATTTCACAATGAAAGTTCCAGCATTGAAACCAGAAAGCGCATTCAGACAATCAATGGTAATTGTACCAAAGAGAGCTGGTGTTTTCGATATTAACATGTTCGTTGAAAGTGAATTTGGTGGTGATTGTGAACGTATGATGTTACGTGTTTGGGTAAGTCATTATTTGATGCCTCCTGTACAATCAACTAAATCATTATGTCTTTTTTTCTCTAGGGAGCCGGTTTAAAACCAACGACTGGTGAAAAGTCGTCTTAAATTGGAATTATCTGCACAACTCCAGAGAAGAAAGAAGAAGAAGAAAAAAAAGACATAACACCACTCACATTTCGTTTTATCTCAAAAAATCAAAAGTAATTTTTTTTCGTAATAATATTTTTTCTTCTGTTAGTACCAATTTTATTTTAAGTGTTGTCGTCCCTTGTCTTTTGTCCTCGTCTTGTGTGTATATGCGTATGTCTTGTCCTTGTTTTTCTATATGTTTTTGTGTCTTGTTCCGTCTCTTTTTATGGACATTTTTCGGGAAAAAGTGTTGTCAGACAGGAAAAAACGTGATTTTTAAATAAATGTTAAGTGTTAAAAACAAAAAGTTTATTGAGTTTGAGAAATTCGAAGATGTTGCTTCGTGGCCTGTTGTTTCAAGATTAATACGAATCATTCGATCAAACTGGGAAGAAAGCAAAAATCGAGATGTAATCAAAAATAAACTTTTGTTTTCCAGTCAAATAAGTAGAAGAGTTTTTTCAAAATGAACTTAATAAAATACTGAACTACTTACGAATGAGAAGGAGTCTCATCATCTAAAGTTCAATTGAAAGTATCAAAGTCTTGTGCAAAATACAGCTTTATCACTTTACTTTATCATTTTTGGTACGAAAGCAAGTTTATCCAAAATCAAAACATCAAATTCATCTTTTTATTCGAGATCGAGACAATGGAATTCAGTCGAAAAATGAAACAGAATGATCTATCCCATGTAGTCGTATATTAGTTTTTTTTGATTTCATAAGATGCTTCAAAA